ACATGTGACCCCTCTGAGCCTCCAAAGAGAGTTCTCCTGAAGAGAGAAATGCTCCCCGTTCAGGAATCAGAGCAGGCAGTGTCCTAAATTATAACTTCCTAACACAAATCACCAAATTTCAAAGATATCCTTCACTATTGTTTAACAATCCTTTGACTCCTCTTTTGAGGAGTCCCTAACCTTGGCCATTTTCCATGGGTCCCTAACCTTGGTCCTTTGCCTCAACACTCAGCACATGACCCCTTCCTCAGTAAGAAATTACACTTTCAGTCATGCCTACTTTCCTGAAAAAAGGTTCAATATGTACTGTTGCTCACATCTGCTCTGGCCTGCCTTGAGTTGGTCTTAGTTCGCCAGTCATCCTCTTTCTTGTATCTTCAGTCTGTTGGAAGCTCCTGATTCCATTCCCTTAGCTTAAAATGGACCCGTCCTAAAATACAGTTCCTTGATCCTGCCATTTGCCTTCAAGTTTTTCTCCCATATCTTTCTTTCATTTTTAACTAAACTGTTCTTAAAACAATAGCCTAAAGACACTCACCTGAAATTTAAAGAGACAAATAATATAAGGATATAGAACAATTGAAACTTCACATTTTGCCAGTGGGAGTGTAAATTAACATGACCATTTTTGAAAACTGTCATTATCTACTAAAGTTAAATATATGCATGCTCTGTGACCCAGGATCTTGTCTACTCCAGGATAGCCAACAGAAATGCGTATCTGTGTTCACCAAAAGAGAGTACATTAATTTTATGGTAGCACTGGTCATAGCCAAAAACTACAAATGGTTCAAATGCCCATCATCAATAGATTGGATAAATAGTGTATATTTATGTAACAGAATATTCTACAACAAAGAGAATGATGCAACAATGTGGATGTATTTCATAAACACAGTGTCAAACCAAGGAGGTCGGACCCAAAGGGCACATACCTATGATGCTATTTATCATAAAGTTCAAAAGCAGACATAATCTTTAATGTTATCTATATTGTGAAAAGTCCGGTTACCAAGAGCAGCGTAGGTAGGGTGTGGTGACCAGGAAAGAGGCTTCACGGTTGCAGTTAATGTTTAATTTCTTGATTTTGGTGCTGGTTTCGTAGATATTTTTACTTGTGAACAGTCCTCATTCTGTACACTTAGGGTCCATGGGCTTTTCTCTGTATATTTATACTTTCTGTAAAATGTTTACGTTAAGAACAGAGAAGACTACCCTTGGTAATTTCCTCTTCAATTTACAGCAGCCTGCCACTGTTGCTCCTTGAGCTCTGAACACCTGAGCCTGTTGTCACTCCCTCATGGACACCATCTGTCATTTGACTTCCACACACATTTTTCTCCTTCCATCTTGCCTTTCCATTTGTTCTTGGTTTGGTTTAAATTTTTAAGTTTCAATAATCGGTATGACTTTGAAATCTCTTCTTACAGACACAACTTTTCTCCTGATTTCCAGACCTTGAGGTTGCCTTTTGACTGCACCCTCTCACCTGCCACCCCCATCTGAGAAACCCCTCAGCCCTGTAGAATTTACCTTCTCAGTCTCAGACCCTTCTCATCTGCACTTTAGTGCCAGCTTTCATTATTACTCTCCTGTACAATTGTAAGATGATCCTAAATGCCCTCATCTAATCTGTTCTCCCTCGGATTGATTAAAACATAGGTAAGACCCTGTCATTCACCTCCTTCGTGCTACATAGCCATTAAGGTGAAGTCTCATTTTCTCAGGACAACCTATAGACGCAGTTCCTGATGTCCGCATCCTACCCCCTTTACTTCTGCTACACCATCAGTCTGTCTTGCTTTTTTCTCCCACTCTTCCCTCCTGCTCCTCCTTCTCTCTCTTTTTCTCTTCCTCTATTATCTCCTCCCTTTCACATACACAAACACACATAAACACAGTGCCGACTGCAGCCGCTCTAAACTGTTTTTAGATCTCACTCTCTCCTGCCGATGTTGCTCCCTTACCTTAATTATTCCTTCCCTAACTTACTGTTCATCCTTTAAGACCGATCTTGGGCATCACCTCCTCCCGGCGCCTTTCTTAAATCCTTCCCCGAGACAAAGGCCTGTCCTCTGTACTGCCTGAGCACCCTATGCATACCTCTTTGTTGCATTCATTAGACAACATTGTAACCATGCTTTTGTTTCTCTCCCTCTTCCCCTAGTCTATAAAGTCCCAAAAGGCAGAGACTACTCACCCATTCAATCAACAGATATTTATTGTGGCTACCTCCTAGAAGATAGGTGTTGATACTATGTATACAGAGTGAACAAGTAAATACAATCCCTTCCTCCTAGAATTTATTGGGGGAGACATAATACTAAGTAAGTAATCTCAAATATATATGTATAAATTGGGATAAAAACAATAAAGGAAAAGTAAAGACAGGAAGAGAGATTTTAGTGGGGACCTGATTTAGATTGGGAGATCACAAAAAGCTTCTTTGAGAAATGATATTTAAGATAAGATCAAGAGGAGTAAATTGGAGTTATTAACCAAGCCAAGAAGGGGGAAGAAAATTCCTGCCAGAGGCACATACAGGTTCTTTGGTGGAAAAAAAACGTTATCCATTGAGGGGATCAAATAAGGCTGTGACCACAGCATTAAGGTAGGTTAGAGAGACCAGCCTGGGCTGGATGTATGGGCCTTTGGGGCAGAGATAAGAACCTGGATTTTAGTCAGAGTGCATTGGGAAGTCATTAAAAGGCTTTAAGCTGGACATGAATGTTATTAGGTGTGTGTGTGTGTGTGTGTGTTAATTCACTCTTACTGAAGTACAGATTCTACTGGGGAGTAAAAGTGGTGTTGGGGACCTCAACTAGGAGTCTATTAACATAGTCCAGGCAAAAGATGATTGTGACTGGGACAAGAACAGTGATAGAGAACCGAATGAATCACATTAGGTAGGGTTTTTGCCCTGTCTCTTCCCTGTACCTGGAATGCTCTTTCCCTGTACCTGGAATGCTCTTTCCCCATCTCACAAGCCCTCCTTTATCATTCAGAGCTCACATCCATATCTCCTTCTCATTCATTACTGTGTGCCTGGCACCCGATATGGGACACGGCATACAGTGAGTGTTCAGTAAATATTGAAATGTGTGAATGTACAATATAAATGCATTAGGAGTGTATAATTTGAGGAAGATAAGATTTGGTAATAATTTGAATTTTATCCCCACAATCTTGCACAGTGTCTGACAAATGGTGCTCAAATATTTGTTAAAGTATTAGCTCATCTTGGGCGCCTGGGTGGCTCAGATGGTTAGGCGTCTGCCTTCGGCTCAGGTCATGATCCCAGGGTCCTGGGATCAAGTCCCGCATCGGGCTCCCTGCTAGGTGGGGAGCCTGCTTCTCCCTCTGCCTCTGCCCTCCCCCTCTCTCTCTCTCACTTTCATGAATAAATAAATAAAACATTAAAAAAAAGTATTAGCTCATCTTTCTGCTTTTCTCCTTTGCCATTGCCGTTTCCTTACTTCAGACCTTCATCATCTCATGCTCGAACTAATGCAGCAGGCTCCTGGGTGCTCCCCTTGCTTTCAGTCTCTTCCTGTTTCTAATCCAGCCTCCATGTTATTACTATTATATTTATAAAACTCCAATGTCATCATACCTAAAGTCTCTCCTGTTAAAAAACATAAACTGTGCAGTACTTTCCCTGCTGCTTATAGGTGAAAGTCCAAATTCCTAAGCATGTCGTTCAGTCTGATCCCAGACTTTACTTTAAAACTTCGCTTTTTTCCCTCATGCACCGTACTCTGCTCATACTGGTCCGTTAGGTATTCCCCAAGTATACCATGAAATGTTATGCCCCCTGTGCTTTTGGTAAGGCTGTTTATTCTCTCTGGTGTGCCCTCACCCTAACCACCCAAACAAGGCCAGATCTCTCTCCCTCTCCCCTTGGTGAAGAACAGTTACTTCCTTTGGTATTCTCATACAGGACTAAGTGCCAGTAGTACTATAGCTTTTATTAGTTGTCTTTATAATTATAGATGCTGTATCTCCTCTACTAAATTATGTTTTCCAAAAGAAAGGAAACCTTTGACTTTGTCGACTTTGTTTTTCTTTGAATCTGCAGTACCTAACTAGCATAGTAACTAATACAGAGGAACTCAACTAAATGTTCTGGGGTCTTTATCACAGTAAAATTACATAACATACAACTTACCATTTTAACCATTTCTAAGTGTACAGTCCTATCGCATTAAGTACATCCACGTTGTGTGCAGCCATACCACAGTCTGTCTCCAGAACTTTTTCATCTTCCCTGACACTGTACCCATCAAATACTAACTCCCCATTCTCCCTTCCCCTGGCCACTGGCAACCACCATTGTACTTTCTGTCTCTCTGAAATTGACTACTCATTACCTCATATAAGTGAATCATACAACAGTTGTCCTTTTATGACTGGTTTATTTCATGTAGCATAATGTCAAGGTTCATCCATGTGTCAGAATTTTCTTCGTGTGTGTGTGTGTGTGTGTGTGTGTGTGTGTGTGTGTGTGTGTACTACATTTTATTTATCCATTCACCTGTCGTATACTTGGGTTGTTTCCACCTGTGGACTATTGTGAATAATACTGCTTTGAACAAGGGTATGCAGATATTTGTTTTGAGTACCTGCTTTTATTTCTTTTGGATATATACCCAGAATCAATTAAATATTTTTAATGAATTATTAAATTAGAATATGTTTTATTTTACTAATGTACAAAAGCTATTTTTTTATATAACTTTGTGCTGAGTATTTATTTAAAAGTTTAGAAATCGGGGCGCCTGGGTCGCTCAGCCGGTTAGGCTTCTGCCTTCGGCTCGGGTCATGGTCCCAGGGTCCTGGGATCGAGCCCCGCATCGGGCTCCCTGCTCCGCGGGAAGCCTGCTTCTCCCTCTCCCACTCCCCCTGCTTGTGTTCCCTCTCTCGCTATGTCTCTCTCTGTCAAATAAATAAATAAAATCTTAAAAAGAAATCAACAGAATATGCCATTGCCTTCTCTGCAGGGTACCAGCCGTCCTTCACACTATCATGTTTTATGGGATGATAACTGCTTTACTGCAGATGAACTTCAGCTGCTAACTTACCAGCTCTGCCACACTTATGTGCGCTGTACACGATCTGTTTCTATACCTGCACCAGCGTATTATGCTCACCTAGTGGCATTCAGAGCCAGATATCATCTCGTGGACAAAGAACATGACAGGTAATATAAAAACACAACAAATAGAGATTTTCACTCAAATGCAAGTATGGTCAGCATGTTAGGACTTTCTTGAGAAATCTTTAAGTGTTTACATGTATGTTTCCTTCCTGTTCACCATAAAGTACTGCCATTTAGAATTAAAGTTCCACAGACTGTTAGAGGAGTCAGTGATCCATGTGAAAAGCAGCCATAGGTGAACTGACTGCCCAAAATAAGGGTTCCCATTAAAATGTACACTTTAGGCTTATTAGTACTAGAATGGTATAGTGATTTAGTTGCTTTGCCAAATTAATTCAAGGGAGAGATTGTTGCTGATAGACAAAATGATAGTATGCCTGGGATTTACTTCTAAACAATCCTGGGGAGGCGAGAGAAGTAAAACAAAATTGGCCTCGAGTTAATGATTATTGAAGCTGGGTGATAGAAATGTAGCAGTTCGTTATACCAGCTTCTATTTTTTTTAATATTTTTGAAATTTTCTACCAGTAATATTTTTCAAAATTACTACATCAGAATAGGGTTTGTTTTTGTGTTCATTGCCGCTTCTCTTACAGTGCTGAAGGAAGTCACGTTTCAGGACAGAGCAACGGACGAGATCCACAAGCTCTTGCCAAGGCTGTACAGATTCACCAAGATACCTTACGCACAATGTACTTTGCTTAAAAAGTCCAAGAATATTCTCTGAGAGGAAGAACTGAAAGATGCATCGACATACAGCATATGTTTCCAGTGGAGTCAGTTGAGTGGGGATGCCTCCAGCCATACAGCAACCAACACTGTGTGGGGACCAGGGTCTGATTTTTATGTTGATACAAGGAAGATTGTTTACTTCATCAAGGAACACAGCACCATTATGCAATATGAAACCAGCCAACTGCTTTTTTGTGCGGTCTCCTTAGGAAGTATCGCCATTGTTTTGTTTTCACTTTCTTGTAGTCTAACCCTTTTAATGCCTTTACCTCAAGTTGCTTGGCAGCACAACTATCTTTGCAAAAAAAAGTAAAGAAAAAGTAAATGACAGTTTAAAAAAAACACACACCTATATGAATAATCAAAGTGATTGTTCACAATTATGTGTGCAAAAAAATTAATGTGCATTCGTGTATTCTTGTAAAAGGTATCTGTGTATATTTTAAATATATACATGTATACTTCATATGCATATATATCTGGATCTACATTGATAATAGATATATATGTGTTTGTGTGTGTATTTTATAGGTCATTCCTTTGGGGAACTTTCTTTCCCTTTTATTATCTTACCAACACCACTTTGATTTTTCTCTCTACCTCCCTTTCCTTCATCTCCTACATTTTTTTTTCCTAATGCTACCAGTGACATTCAGATGTTCATGTATCTGGTTCATTTGGATATGAAGCATGGCAAACTAGATTTTTATTTTTATTTTGCACACCCTACTCCGGTCTCTTGTCTCATACACAATTCCAAGTCCTCAACTCTTGATACTGCTTTCTTAAGAAACAAAATTAATATATATATATGTAATTATATATATATATATATAATGTTTCTGTGAGAGTGTGTGTCTGCCCCCTCCTGCTCTGAATTTACATTTGCCATTTGTACAATGTGTACATAAGCAGTAGCAGCCTTAAACTATTATTTTTCTTTAGTTTGTTAAAGCTGCTATGAATATAAAACCTTGTCAAAAGTTGTAACTCAGAAATTCCTCTCTATAAGTGATATGTATTCTAAATTTAGCCTTCTGTTTCTATGCGTTATACATGAAAATCCCTTGTAGCTTTTATAAAGGGCAAATATTCTAAACAATTGGAATTCTTTAGGGTTGAGGCCTCTGAAATTGGGTGGAGAGAGAGAAGGGGTTGTTGAGGGTTTTTTTATTATTTTTTTTTTTTTGCTAGTTTACTTGCTGCCTCTCATACCTTAATGTGATTTTCATATATATATATTTTTATATATATGTGTATATATAAACATATATGTGTGTGTTTTGAAGTATAGCTTCTTTTCTTTTCTATTTATTAGAATAGTGCTTTAATAGAGAACTGTATTGGCAACATCTTTTATAGAAATGTAATCATGTTTATTTTAAGAACTGACAACTTTTTTTTTTGCTGTCTTTTAGTGCAATAACTAGTTTTAAAGGAAAGCTGTGTCTGTTTGATATCTTTACCACGGACAGTGGGAGAAACAGGCACCTCCATAATTTTAAAAGGGCAAAGTAATACAGCCTTAATTTCAGAAGGAAAGTTTTATAATTTTTCAAGTTTAAAGCCTGTCTTTTAAAAATCATAATGAAAATGAAGTTAAATTTCCTAAGTGAGTCTGACCTTGAATATTAAAGATAGAGTTGAGCTTTGATTTAAGAAATGACAGTGAGTAGGGGCGCCTGGCTGGCTCAGTGGCTAGAGCTCGCGACTTGATCTCGGGGTTGTGAGTTCAAGCCCCACATTGGACGTGGAGCCTACTTAAAAAAAAAAAAAGAAAAGAAAGAAAAGAAAAGCCCGTGAATAGCTTAAGATTTAGAAGACATTTACTTCTTTGAAAATAGATCATGTTTATTGAACAATCATACTGGGTTAGGTGCCCATTTTCATTTACTCAAATGAATCAGGAAAATATAAAATGATATTTTTAAAACATTTTTTGCCAGTTTATCAGCAGTGTAACTTTCCTTTTAAAATTAGGGTTATGGTGGCAAAGGAATTAGGACTTTGATCATTTTAAGTTAAATCACTGAAATGTGGAAAAAGTTTTACAAAACTTCTGTTTTATTGATTTCACTTTACGATATTAAAAAGTATTATAAGTATTATAGAGCTGTCAAAATTGAGTTCATCAGTAACATTGGATTCAGGGGAGCGTTGCACTTTGTGACTCATGAAAATTGCATTTTAATTTTCTTTTTTTTCTTTTTTGCACTGGTTCAGAGTGTAGATACTACGGATTGTTTCCAGTGGGCATTGTTAATCCTTTCAGAATTCCATCTGCACATGATAACAAATGGATTAGCTCTTTAGTTTCTCTCTTACCTGTAATCCACTCTTATTGCCAATTTACTGTATTTTGAGCCTAAAATCTGAGCCCATGTCCTCCAACAGGTATGAAATCTTTCGTTCCTCTGCCAGAAAACTAAGAAAGTACTGTATTTTGTATGTTTATTATTGAAGTGTCTGAAATGCAATTTACAACACTGTTTCAAAGCTCTTTACATGAAGTAATATTTGTATAGTATATATATTTTTTCTCCCAACCCTCCCCCTCTCCTCCAAAAATTTCCTATAAAGCATGTATTTTTTTTTTTTAACATTGAAATTTCACTGAATATAGTCAGGAACATGAATAGAAGAAAATAGTATACCCTAGATGCTAAAACCTTGATTGCTGTATGCTTTCTCAGTATGAGTAAAACACCTTCCTTTACCAGTAGAAGTTACACAGACTTAATGTGGGAAACTGTAGGGCCCAGGAAAGAACTGTAGATACCTTTTCTCTACTGCTTCACCTAATTTTCAGTTATTTAGTTTCCATGTGCTAGAATGAAGCCCATAATTTAAATCTATTTAGGACTTTTACTGAGGAAAAACAATTTTTTAAATATAAAGCTTTACCTTTAAAAGTGAGTTCTTTTTTAGGGTTTCTTTCTTACAGTTTCACATTGCTAGTTTAAGGTTGGTTAACTTGAAAGGATATGTATAGTATATTTTGCTTACTAACAAATTGGTATATCAAACTTAATTAAAAGAAGCCTTGTGCTTAGAATTTAAAAGACCAGGTGGCAAATACTTTTTGAAATTTGTTTTAATTATTCACTTCTGGTGTAGAATTCCTGATCTTTTTTTATTAAAAAAAAAATTTTTAAAGATTGTTTTGAATTTAAAGGTCATGAAACTCAACAATGACCTTTCTGTTCCTGCCTTTGCTCACTAAACTATATAATGAATGCTAAATTTTGGTCTGCTGTTTTCTATGATGCATAAGAGTGACTTTAAAATATCAGTCCCAGCCACTGGTATAATTGATTTTCATGTGAAGAAGAGTTGGGAGTTTAATGTATATTCTGTATGGCAAATGTGTCTGGGTAAAGTGCTGATATATGTTATTACAGTATCAAGTTATTGGCATTGAGGACCATACATTCATAATACTGTAGCTGCTATATTTATTTAATTATGAAGAGTCTGATAGTTACTGCACTAAAGGATAAGGAGATGAGCAGGATTGGAGGCTAGTGTTAGACACCCCCCCTTTTTTTTTCCTAAATAAGATTAAGAACATGAAATAACAAGGTAACAAAGGGTGCTGCCATTTTAGTTTCAGTTTAATATTAGGATACTATTTTAGACGTGTGGATTTTTACTTTAGTGGTTTCGCAAAAGGGTACCTCAATCTCCTCAGTACTGGTTTTTGGCATATTTTCACAGAAGTACAAATGCCCTTTATTTTTTAATAATTTACCTTTTAACAAGTTACTCAGAAAAAAAAAGTTCTTCTCTGGAAATATACCTGTTTGTAATCTATTAATTTATTTCTCTTCTTAGAAGAGTCTAGAAGGGATTCTAGTAGGAATGTACCGGGTGTTGTGGAAGGCACTTGATAAAAATTCATCTCTACCTTCTAGCATAGGGACTCCTAGCCTTCTAAAGACTCATACTAGTTTTCCAAACTAGGTTCTCTGATGACCCACCACTGCCTAATGTTTACTTGTATGTTTTGTAACGGATTTTAGTATGACGGACAGCATGATAGGCTTAGTCATGACAGACTTAAATAAAATCTGAGTTGCCATTCAGTAGAAATGGCTGGCAGAGGATCTCAGTGTTTAAGGAAAAGGTCAACACTCAGAGTGCCAGTAATAGATCTGAAGTAATTAGATGGATTATAGGCCAGGAATTAAAGACCGTTGTTAACGGAATTTGGTGTTTTCAGAGGCTAACATGAATTTGCCAAGGGTGGTGATTTTTATGAATTCCATCAAGCTAGCCACTTGGATTCAGCTAGAATATTCTGTAGTCTTGCTATTTCAAACTTGATAGAAATATTTTGCCAAAAAGCTTAACTGATAACTCTGTATAATTTTTATTTGGTATCATTAAACCTGAGTTAAATATTTGGTTAAATCATCTCTTAGATGTTCTCCTACTGAGTATTTTTTAAAGACAGGTTGCTCCTATTAGTAACTTGCTACTTAAATTATCTTTTGTGAGTTATCAGTCAAGCTGCAAAAAGACATCATTGGCTTGGCATCTTTATTTTGCTTTTTTTATCCATAGAAAGTTTTAACCCTTTTCATTCTTCTTGAGAATTCATGGATGTCTTAAAGCTTCAATAATAATAGTTGGGAGACTTTATATTTATCAAGTGAGGCCTCCCTGAGTGGCAGTGTAACCCTGACTCTAGAGTCTGTCTTTATTTTCCTTTATCCCTCCCATTTGATCATATAAAGCACTTTCATGATTCTGTAGGAGTCAAATAAGCCAAGAATAGATGTATAAAATCAGTACAGAAATGTGAAAGTTTTCTCCAAAAAATCTTTTTAAAAAAAATTTCTGCTTGTACTAAGAACATTCTTGATCAGTGACAGTGTTAGAAATGATACCATGATTATGAAACCTAAGCTGACCCTCAGGAGGAAAAAATTGAATCTCTCTGTCCCCCTCTCACTCCCTCTCTCTTTTTATAGATATCTCAAAGGGAAAAAATATTTTTTGAATTTTTCCTACTTTAAAAATGGTACGTTTTAGTTTATAATTTTCCATGTCGGTCAAAATAATTTTTTTTAACTAATGTAAAATGGTCAAGGCTTGTGCTAATACTATCTACTGCTAGCTGAATTTTATTTTTCTTTACCCAGCAAAGATAGTACTCTAGATTTTTACAGTGTTCATTAAACCTCAAGAATCTAATGTTCTTAAAGTATGGAAACTTAAAGATTTTAATTTGAATTAAAAATAGATAATAAATTTAATATGGAAGGTTGAGATTTACCAATAAGAAACCCTGTTGAAGTATCAGCTAACAGAGAGTGTGACAAAATTAAGATCCTGTTAATTGATCTGTCCAGCCATTGGTCTCCCTTCCTTTTTGAAATCAACGTCTGAAACAAC